CGGAGGTCCGTAGGTCATTTTGGAGCCATTTGGCTAAAGATAGAAATTAGTTGGGGGTGCGATCGGAAGTGAATTCGGAGGTCCGTAAGTCATTTTGGAGCCATTTGGCTAAAGATAGAAATTTGAAGGTTTTTGAGAAGTTTGACCGGAAGTGGACTTTTTGATATCGGGGTCGGAATCGATTCCGGAAGTTGCAGTAGGTCCGTAATGTCAATTATGACTTTTGTGCAAAATTTGAGGTCAATCGGACGTGATTTGATAGGTTTAAGAATCGAAAGTGAAAGTTGGAAGTTCTAAAGTTCATAAATCTTGGATTGGGGGTTGATTCATGATTTTAGCGTTGTTTGATGTGATTTGAGGCCTCGAGCAAGTCCGTAATGTATTTTGGTATTGGTTGGTATGATTGGTTGGGGTCCCGGGGGCCTCGGGAGGATTCCGGGTGGTTAACGGATCAAAAATGGAATTTTTAGAAGGCTGAAGGTTGCTGGTTGCTGTCATAACCGCACCTGCGAAAAATGGGCCGCGAGTGCGGAGCCGCAGATGCGGCCAGGGGAGCCGCAGATGCGGTTTGGACCAAAGTGAAGGAGGGCCGCAGATGCGGTCGAGGAGCCGCAGATGCGGAATCGCATCTGCGGAAGCAGGGTCGCAGAAGCGGAAATAAGGGAGGCCTGGAATGACCGCAGATGCGGTGGAGTGGCCGCAGAAGCGGTCAATGGACCGCAGGTGCGAAAAATACTGGGCAGAAGGCTTGTTTTAAAATCGTGATTTGGAGTTCATTTCTCTCATTTTTCATGGCTTGGGGCGATTTTTGGAGAGCTTCAAAGAGGGATTTTCGTCTGCTATGCTAAGGTAAGTTATCCCCACCTATTTTTGAGTTGAATACATCAATTATGTTCGGATTAGGCTTGAGAAATTGTAGAAAATGGAGGTTTTCGGTGGAAACCTAGAAAATTATATTCTTGGAATTTAGCCACGAAGTTGAGCATGGAATTAGGAGTAAATTATATATTTGAGCTAGTGAAGCCATGGGTAAACTTTATCTTCGAAAAATTTTGGATTCCGGGCACGTGGGCCCGAGGGCGTTTTGGTCAACTTTTCAATCGGAGTAGGAATCGCTATAAATTAGTTTGTTAGGAATATTTGAACATATATTAATGGATTTGCGTAACCGTTGGCTAGTCTTGGAGCGTGGTGCATCAATGGGAATCCCCAGAAGGCCGTGGAATGCCGGTTATGGATCTTCAGAGCGAGGTGAGTCTCCTTTCTAACCTTGTGAGGGGGAAATGTCCCCATAGGTGAATTAATTGGTTATGTGCTCCTATTTGTGGGGGGCTACGTACGCACGAGGTGACGAGAGTCCGTGCATAGCTACTATTATGCTATTGTCCGGGTAGCTAGGGCCCAAAAGCATGAACACTTGGATTATTTTTAAACTCTTTGATAGCTTAAATCGCTTATATCACATGGAATTCGTAAATGAATTTCTAAAAAGATAAACTTCAATTCCTTAAATTGTTAACAGAGGATTGGCTTTTAATTGGATAAATGTTTCCCGATAAATCCTTAATTGGTTGATTGAGCATGTATCTCTATGTGTACCTGCGTCGCATGTATGATTCACGAGCTGGGTATGTGTTTATTTTATGTTGACCGCGTCGCATGATTAATTCGCGAGCGGGGAATGTTGGATCGGGTCGTCGCCTAGGTATCATTTGCGCATGATATTTTTATATGTTGATGCATGAGAAATGTTAAATGATGAAATTTGCCCTTCGTGGCTTGATATAAATTGATAAGATAAGTAAATCTTGAAAATCCTTTGATAATTGTTAAAAGGTGTTTACCTGTTTTACAGCTTTGTGAATTAGAACATGCTATGTGAATCCATGATTTCCTCACACATTTAGTGTATTATTATTGGACCGCTAGTGAGTGTCCAGGTTGACCATCTCGTCTCTACCCCTTCGAGGTTAGGCGGGATACTCACTGAGTACACGTTGATTACGTACTCATACTACACTTCTGTGCATTTTTATTGCACAGGTATATGTTACTGCGGCCTATTGGGCATAGCGGCACGGATGATTCGGGGACTAGGTGAGTTGCAGTAAGCGAGGCGGCCCGCAGCTTGTAAAGTCCCTTCTAGTAAATTGTACTTTCTTTCTGTCCATTGTATTCCGGACGGAGGTTGTACTGTATTTTATATCCTTATCAGTAGATGCTCATGCACCTGTGACACCGGGTTCTGGGGTGGTTTCCGAAAGATTTGTACTAACTATTTGTTATTTAATTTGAATTGAAGTAGCGACCTTTTTATTTTTGAAAAATTCAAGGAGAAATTCTAGATTTTCAAAGAAATTAAAAGAGAATTTAATTGATAATTTAGTTGGCTTGCCTGACAACGGTGTCCGGCGCCACTACGACCCTTAGTGAATTTTGGGTCGTGACATTCTCTAAACAAAAAACTGGTAACAATCTCTTCAGCATTTATAGATATTAAATTGATTAGCTGCATTCTTTGGCTATATTAACAATCTCTTTACTTGAAAATTTCATAGATCTCCATAGACTTCTATCAGATTTCTTTAAATTTGTATTCAAAGAAAAACAAGGAAATATTGGCTAAGACATGCTTATTGGGTGTAGCAGGGAGTTCGTGGGAAGCTAAGATAGTAAAGGAGAAGTTGAAATACTTCATATGTGAAGGGGAGTGGCCAGATCAAATACTCGAGCACCAGGATAATTTGCTCTTTTTACTAGTTGATAAATCTAACTTTTAGGAAAAAGAGCAAATTTCCTGGTGCTCGAGTTTTTGATGTGGCCAGTCTCCGTCACATATGAAGTATTTTGGACTTCTCCTTCACTATCTTTACTTCCCACGAATTCCCAGATGCACACCAGTAAGCATGTCTGTGCCAACATTTTCTTGTTTTTTTCTTATGAAAGTAGAAGGTAGTTGCTAAAAAGATTATAGTACTAAACTTCGTCAACCTATGTCTGACAGACAACTCTTTGGTGGAAGACATAGTGAAGTTTCATGGAATGTGGTGAAGAAAACCAAGAAGAGCAACTATGACATTACTATGGAGAATATGAAGACACTCTGTCAATTTTTTGAATAGAGAATAACTTGTAAACAAAGAACTAATTTTTTCTTTTTTTCAAAGGATGTAAGTGAAAACAAAATTGTATTTTGTGAATATACATCATTTTGTGTGAATTATGTGACTTGGATTGATTCAAATATGTTTATGTCTTTTTTCATGAGTTTCAAGTATATTTTTGTTGAAATTCAGCATGCTAAACTTCAGGTCATCACTAAATAACTTCAGCAGTATCTGCGTAAGTTATTTGAAAACTTCAGCTCCTCCTGCTGAAGTTTTTAAGTAATAAGTAAAAAACATAAGCAGCTATGCCGAAGTTTTTTCATGCAATATGAAATTTTAATTTAGCCAGTGTTGGAGCAAAACTTCAGCTCCTCCTGCTGAAGTTTTTAAACAATAACTAAAAAACTTCAGCAACTATGCCGAAGTTTTTTCATGAGATATGAATTTTTAATTTAGCCAGTGTAGGAGCAAAACTTCAGCTCCTCATGCTGAAGTTTTCAAATAATAACTAAAAAACTTTAGCTCCTAGGCCGAAGTTTTTTCATGAAATATGAAATCTTAATTTAGCCAGTGTAGGAGCAAAACTTCAGCTCCTCCTGTTGAAGTTTTTAAACAATAACTAAAAACTTCAGCACCTAGGCCGAAGTTTTTTCATGAAATATGAAATTTTAATTTAGCCAGTGTAGGAGCAAAACTTCAGCACCTCCTGCTGAAGTTTTCAAACAATAACTAAAAAATTTCAGCACCTAGGCCGAAGTTTTTGGTGTAGTACGATTTTTTAATTTAGCCAGTGTAGGAGGAAAACTTCAGCTCCTCCTGCTGAAGTTTTTAAATAATAACTAAAAAATTTCAGCACCTAGGCCGAAGTTTTTTCATGCAATATGAAATTTTAATTTAGCCAGTGTAGGAGCAAAACTTCAGATCCTCCCGCTGAAGTTTTTAAAAAATAACTAAAAAACTTCAGCACCTAGGCTGAAGTTTTTTGATGCAATATGAAATTTTAATTTAGCAGTGTATGAGCAAAACTTCATCTCCTCCTGCTGAAGTTTTTAAACAATAACTAAAAAACTTCAGCACCTAGGCCGAAGTTTTTTGATGCAATATGAAATTTTAATTTAGCCAGTGTAGGAGGAAAACTTGAGCTCCGCCTACTGAAGTTTTTAAGTAATAACTAAAAAACTTAAGCAACTATGCCGAAGTTTTCAATTATTAACAAAAAAACTTCAGCAACTATGCCGAAGTTTTACAATAATCATATAATGTTTTAATATAATTTCTTCTTCGTTGTGTTATTTGCCAGCTCGTTAACTAAATAACTTCAGCTTAGAATGTTAGAATTCATCGTCAAACAGATTTAGAATTGCAAATTCAGCATATCAGTGAAGTTGCTCAAACAAATCAGAAAACATATAATTCAAAAAATACTTACAATGTATTTGAATTTGAATTTGAATTTGGAATTTGAATTTGAATTTGAATATGGAATTTGAATGCGAGACGCGATCTCCGGAGAGACGGACTGATGGAGGAGATACGGAGGAGATCTGGAATTTGAATCTGGGAATACGGAGGAGAGACGGACTTTTATATGTTTTGGAAGGGGTATAATGGTCATATTATTACGAAATTTTTGTTAGTTGGTTACGAAATCAATAGCTTTTAAAAATAGGGTATAAGTTAAAAGGTGACATAAAAATAGGGTACGACTGCAAATCGTCCGAAATTGACAGCTCGATCACACGTTAGGTACAACTAAGGAAAAGAGCACGATATTATCACTTATTCTAATTCAACTTGCATTAGGAAAAGTATTCTGATTAAATAAAGTCAAAACCAACTAATTGAAATATTACCCCTTTATTTCTCCATTATTATAAATCGCCCCCTCCTACTTTATATTTCTTTTATTCGTCTGCCCTTTTCTCTTTCTTCGCCTTTCTTTCGGTGCAGACTTTCTCCTCACAGCGTCCCAATTCAGCTACTTTACAATGACTCATATCCTTAAAAATCCATGAATTTTTTTTATTTATTTGCTTATTTATTACATATTTGTGCATATTCTTGAATTGGATTTCAATTTTTGATTGTTGTAATGGTAAATTTGTTAGTTTTTCCCCAAAGTTTGGTGCTTTTTGTGGTTAGTTTTGTGGGTATTTGAAATTTGTTGAAATTTATGTTTACTTTTGTGTTTTATGGTGTTTCCCTTTGAAATTTTGTGTCCCCTATAGTTTTTTTATTTTTTATTTTTTATTTTTTTATTGTTAAAAAGATTGTACCTTTTTTTGTGTTTGTTTTGTGGGCACTTCTAATTGAATGAGATTCTGTGAAATCTAATTAGATTTATGTTTGCTTTTTTGTTTTAGTGTGTTTTGTATATTGAGCAATTTTATTGTTATTGTAAATAACCTTTTTATGATCATGATTTACCTTTTTTTTGTGTTTAGTTTTTGGGTACTTCAATTTGGATGAGATCTATGTCTCCTTTTGAGTATCATGATGTTTTCATGATAATTTTTTCCTGTGCAATTTTGTGGGTACATTAAATTCTAGTTAGATTTGCTTTTTGCTTTTAGTTTTATGGTGTTTTTCTTTGGAATTGTACATTTGTGTTACCATGACTGAATCAAACGGGGAAATCAGAGGGAAAAAGATCGGGAAAGAGCTCAAGCTCGGACTGGTAAAGGCAAGAAGGGAAAAGATGATGGCTTGACTCCTGAGCAGCGCCGCGAAAGGTACATATATTTGTTCCAAGATTAGTTTTTTTTTTTTTTTATGTATTTGACTTTTGTTTATTATTGGATTTTGAGTGTTATTTTATATGTTTGTTGAATGTAGGGATGCAAAAGCTCTGCAAGAGAAGACTGCAAAGAAGGCCGCAAAAGATGCGGGAGGTAGCAGTGCTGGAACTAATGACACCAAGAAGTAGAAAGCTGCAGTTTGCTCAATGTGGTTTGTTAGATTTCTGGAGATTTATAGATTCGATTATTTCTTAATCCCGACGTTTCGTGTGTTCAATGTATCATCAGTTCTATGTTGTGTTGCAGTATGACATTGAGTTGAATCTTAGTATGTTGTACACTTGAAATATAAAAGGCTTTTCCTTTCCTGATATGATTTGCTTGTTGCCGATCCCAACTTGCTTGGAATTGAGGCACAGTAGTATTAGTTGTTTGATATGGTTTGTCTGATGCTGATTCTGGTTTGTTGTTATGGGACTTCAATTTAGAACTTTAGGTCATCAACTGGATTATGTGTGTTGGTTCAGTGTTGGTCAGGATTGGTGCCTATTCAGTTATAGGACTTTCTTTAGCAAAAGATTCTCAAGGTTTTATGATTTATTTCCTATTTTCTGTAGGCGTTTAAGATTCTTTTTATAAGGTAATAAGTGTTAGGTTTTACTTTTCTTTTGTGAGTTCCTTGTTTGAAGGGAAGCTTTGGACCAACGATAAAGTTATCTCCAAATTCGAGTCGTGGAATCTGTTACCGATACTTGAGTCAAGGTAGACTCAGTGTTATTAAAAGCGCTCGCTTCTCGCTTTAAGCCCCGAAGCGACGCAAGGTGCTGTTCTATCGCTTTTCTGCTATAAAAGCGACTCACATAAAAAAAGCGCACGCTTTAACTGCTTAAGCGAAAGCGCCGCGATGGAAAAAGCGCAAAAAAGCGTGCTTAAGCGACGTGAAGGCATCTGCTAGGGTTTTTTTAAAAAATTTTTGCCAAATAAACCGTCAGTTGCCAAATAAACATACGCCCTTCTGCTGCTCCAACTCCAGCGACGACTGCTGCTCCAACGACTGCTTCTTCTCCAGTTCTCTGTAAGTTTCTTCTTCTCTCTTCTTCTCTTCTTCTTTTCTTCTTCTTCTTCTTCTCCTGTTTGTTCTTCTTCTTCTGTTCGACTCCTTTTTTCTCTTTTTCTTTCTATTTTTTTCACTTTCTATTGCTCTGTTCTAGACATCTAATTTATGCTCTGTTCTTCTGCCCTATTTTTCTCTTCTTTCTATTTTTTTTCACTTTTAATTGCTCTGTTTTTGTGCCCTAAAACTATGCTCTGTTTTCTGGTTTATTGCTCTGTTTTTGTGCCCTAAAACTATGCTCTGTTTTCTGTTTTTCTGCTCTGTTTTTCTGCTAGTGCTCACTGTTCTGGTTCGTCAAAATTAACTGCTAGTGCTTAATATGTTATTTTTAATGAGTTCTTAGCCATTTATCTATGCCTATTTTTTTTTTATGTGTTAAATTGCGCTTCACATGAAAAAAGCGCGCGCTTCGCTTCACGCTTCTCGCTTCGGTGAAGCGAGGCCTCGTCACTTTTTTGCGCTTAACGCTTTCCAAAACACTGGGTAGACTGCGTATAAAACACCCCCTCGGGGTGTGGCCCTTCCCCGAATCCTGCATTAACACGGGTGCTTCGTGCACGGGGCTGCCCCTTTTTTATGAGTTCCTTGTTTGACATCTATTTTGAAGAGACTATTGGTTTAGATGAGCACAATCAAGTTAGACATCATTTTTGGCTATTAGGATAAATTTAGTAAAGGCAGAGGGTCAATTAATGAACTTAGAATTTTCTCAGAATAAAATACTGATGCTACAGGTGTCGTTCGCCTTATGAGGTGGATTATATCTGTCAATAACTAGAAAGGAGGATGGGGGAGCTACATGGCCATTCATTAAATGTCAATTGTGGGGTAAGGAAAAGGTAATGCACATCGTATCCTGATCTATGTGGGACATATAGGTAGCACTAGGAGGACATATAGAGAAATATTGGCTAAATATTGGCTCATGCGAAGCTGCTTCATTTTATATACAATCAACTACGCGTCAATCCAAAATCAGGTGGAATCAGCTATTTGATTCTCTATATCCATTCCACTTAACCAATTTCACTGCAAACCATTGAAAGAAGTTTGTTGCTTTGTTTCTGTCTTTTCCTTTTTTTCTTGGGCCAAAGATGGCGTGGAGTAAATGACAGTTGGGGTTCACTCTGTGCTACATAACATGAAACGAGCAGGAGTATGTTGATGTGAACTTTTTCTTCAAAGCCCAGCTGTTTAAGTTGTCGATCTTGTCATTTTAACTGTTCCAAATTATATGGTGTTAACCTTCTGTTGAGGCCATCTGCCTTTCTGTTTATCCATTATCATAACTTTCTCCTGAACCTATCTCCGTCTTCGTTACCATGTTTCCTTCTTAAATTGTTTACATTTTTTTGAAGCCATCTCCCTCTTAAAACCTATTTGTCCTTTCAAACCTTGGATCCTGTATGTGTAGATGCAGCATTTTGTGTAATAAAAGGTGTTGTTACTGCCATTGAAGTCAGTAATTCTACGTTCCCCTTTCTTTGTCATGGTACTCACTGCATAACTCTTTTTATTTTTATTTTTTTAAATATGGTGTACTCCCACCCCTTGACCAATAACCACCCTAACCAGGAGGCAGACAGTAGCTTTTGCCACTTTGTTTACTTGGAGAATTGAATGACGAGCCTCGTAGTTTGAGGTGTAGGTCCTTCCCACTGGGCTATGGCTATCCATTCGTTTTCTATTTCTGTAAAAAGCTTGTTTGCAGTTCAGTTTGTTGCGAAACTTCTAATTTATTTTGCTGATTTCTGAAGTCCTTTAATACACCTTGTGCTTAGAATATATGCCAATGGCAAAGCCAGGATATATGTGATATGAATGTCCTTGGTGGAGCATTTTGTGTCATTTGCAAGGTTGTTTATCATGTTATTCCTTAACTCTGGCGTAAAGGTAAAAGGAGAAGGTAAAATACACCCGTTTTCTGTAGTTGTATTCCTCCCAACTATTCCTTCCCCGGAAAGTGGAAGCTTTTTCTCCCAAGTACTATTGTCTTGGAAAACTTTAGGAATGCTTTTTGGTGACCCGAAATTCTGTACTGTACGCTGTAGATGAATATGCTCTAAGATGCAAGATGCGGTAGCTTTTAGATTCTGTGTGGATGATTTTAATATAACAACTTTGAGAGAGGCTGAGATCTTTCCGGTCGATGCTGTGCATTCCAGAACCCAGGTGTTGCAGAACTAAAATAGGTGGTTTGGGACAGTTCTACTGTATAGATTTAGACTATGCTTGGTTGATGCATTATCACCTTCACGATATAGTGGATTTGAGGAGCTAGCTTCAGTTGAGTAATAGTGTCATTGCTTACTTGATTTCCCTTTAAAGTTTTCAGGCAGACCATATTCAGTGTTCACCCATAGAAGAGATAGTAAATTACTGCTGCTTTTAACTTGCAGAGGTCCTGTCTTCCTTCGGAATCTGTCATAAGAAACTAGAAAGCTGGCTTTAGTTTGTGATCATGCAAATAATTTAGCTGGCTTCGCCCCTAGGGCTTCCCATAAGTGGTAAGATCGCAGCGAGTTGAAGCCTATTGCGAAGGAAGCCTGGTATTTAAGCGAAGATGGGTAGTGGAAGTATTCCAGATTTTTGCTATTTATATTATATGGCTGGAAACTCCATACTGGTTTAGTGACTTGGGATAAAATGATGCAGATCTTGTTGGTAAAGAGTACTGAGGTAGTGTTCAACATAGATTAAAAAAAAGTTTGGTCCCATCTGCCTAAGTTTTGGTGGGTAGAGTTGTCGGTACTCGTGCATCACAGGTACCTAGTGAAATTAAAGAAAAGAGAAGAGGTTTTGTTTCTGACATGAAAATAGAGCACATTCTAGACAAAAGCAAATATTTTTAGAAGGGCAGAAGTTATCTGAATGCTAGTTTCTACTTGGTAATGTTTAGTTTGTGGATAAGATAAGGTGGAAGTAGTCTCTTTTCTCCTCTAAGAATTCTTTGTACCTTGCAATTTAAATATGTAAAACCTCATATATTATGGTCATCTATGATCAGTGAGGATTCATAATAAGTTTGGATGATCCCAATAATATCCAAGTGACTAAGCTGTCACGGTTCGAGCAAATTTGATTCGGCACAACCTAATGATACATCCAATATTAATGATCTGTGCCTAGTAACATACTGCTGTGGATTCGAACTACACCAGGATTTTTAGTCCAGCTGAGCTACCTGAACCACTTTGAAATAAGTCTCCTTTCTTTATGTAATTTTGCCCGCCCCGGGATTCTAACGATGACTGAAGCCTCTATTTAGGTGCTGGCCTCTATTTAGGGGGCCGCGTGATTTTATCTCTTTGAAGAAGGACTTTATCTCTTTGAAGAAGGACGAACTCTTCTTTATATACACAATTTGATGTTAGATCCTCATAAGTACTCAAGATATTGTATTCAGAATTAATCAGCGATCACTATTCACACATTTGAAAAACGCAGCAACCATAGAGTTAGGCGCAAGGTTTATTTTTCTACCACTGCAGGGCGCAATCATATACTCAAAAGAAGAGTTTGATCTTGGCTCAGAAGGAACGCTAGCTATATGCTTAACACATGCAAATCGAGCGTTGTTTTTAGGGAGCTGGGTAGAAGGAAAAGAGGCTCCTAGCTAAATGTAGCTTGTGGAGAACAAAGTGGCGTACGAGTGCGTAACGCGTGGGAATCTGCCTACGACAGTCAAAGCTATCCCTATTCTTGATACTTATACCTTCTTCTTTTTTTTAAAAAAACCTAATGTTGGACTACCTAGGTTATATTGTCTGTAGTCCAAATATCCATATCGTGCCGTGGATGTTAGATTAGCCCGATTGATTGATGGAATGTGTTGTTGTCTCCTTATATAGTCTTGTGCAATCTTCACCTAACATGTACAGTATCTCAATATGATATATAATATACCATGTTAAATGCTTTTGTATACATGTTACATTCAAACAGACCACATGTTATGTTAATTACTCCTAATACGAGGAGAAAGTTGACCAAAAGCAACCGGTTTGAAGAGGCTCATATACGGAACGACACGAAAAATAATACCCGAGATGGTAGATTCGATTAACCGAAATTCAGAAGCTGAAATTTCACTTCTACGATCAATAGGTTTGGCCAGGGTATTTATAACTCTAACGATCCGGTCGGTCGTTTCATGAGTTACCGCCCCGTTTTCCCAATTTCTGCTTCTTTATGCTTTGTTCATCGTGTTATATGGTATCGGGTTGGTCGGTTCGAATTCGGAATTGAGACACTTAGTC